GTCATGGTAGACGCGGCAGAGCGTCACCATGCTCACCGTGTTGAAGACGAAGGAAAGCAGCACGGAGAAGATGCCCAGCAGAGCGAAGAGCAGGCAGAAGATGATGTCTCCGGTGTCGGGCAGGAGGGTGAGGAAGAAGCACCGGGAGCCAGGGTACTCCAGCGTGTACCGCCCCAGCCCCAGCACCGGCAGCAGCCCCAGCAGGCAGGAGAAGCCCCACACCAGCCCCACGATGGACCAGGCGCGGCGCTTAGAGACGCTGGTGGAGCGGGAGAAGGGGTGGTTGATGCCGAAGAACCTCTCTCCGGCCATGGTGGCCCCCAGCAGCAGCGGGCACTGCCCGAAGAAGACCATAGAGAAGCCGAGGAAGTTGCAGAGGTGGCAGCCGGGGTCCACCTTGGCCCAGGCAAACTTGATGAAGTGGTAGGGGATGATGACCGAGGCCGTCACCAGCAGCCCCATGAAGTCTGTGACCACCAGCCCGCAGAGGATGACGAGGAAGGAGGAGCGGGCCTGGCTGGAGAGCTTGCGGGAGGAGCTGAGCAGGACGCAGAGGGCGAAGAGGTTGGAGCAGAGGCCGATGAGGCCGAAGGCGGTGGAGAACCAGGGCGAGGTGATGCTGTTCTGCGCAGTGTCGTGCCCGTCACTGGCGTTGAACACCCCGAAGCAAGTGTCCAACTGGCTGCCATTGGAGGGATCCATGTCTCCCCACCCCATTAGGTGTCCTGGCTTGGCTCTACGGCGTGAGTGCCCCACTGGTGCTGGCACTGATCCTGCCTTGCCCTGTGGGGACAATCATAGAATCCCAGACTGGTTTGTGTTGAAGAGACCTTAGAGCTCCTCCAACTCCAACCCCTGCCACAGGCAGGGACACCTTCCACTAGAGCAGGTTGCTCCAAGCCCCTGTGTCCAACCTGGCCTTGAGCACTGCCAGGGATGGGGCAGCCACAGCTTCTCTGGGCACCCTGTGCCAGCGCCTCAGCACCCTCCCAGGGAAGAGCTTCTGCCTCAGAGCTCATCTCAATCTCCCCTCTGGCAGGTTAAAGCCATTCCCCTTGTCCTGTCCCTCCATCCCTTGTCCAAAGCCCCTCTCCAGGTCTCCTGGAGCCCCTTTAGGCACTGGAGCTGCTCTAAGGTGTCCCCTTGAGGAGCCTTCTCTTCTCCAGCTGCCCCAGCCCAGCTCTCTCAGCCTGGCTCCAGAGCAGAGCTGCTCCAGCCCTCGCAGCAGCTCCGGGGCCTCCTCTGGCCTCGCTCCAGCAGCTCCACGTCCCTCTGGTGTTGGGGACACCACAACAATGCTCCAAGTGGGGTCTCACAAAGGCAGAAACAAGGTGGGGGTTTGGGGCTGGTCCCCCATGGTCAAACCCACCCGGCACCAGCTCAGGGCAGCAGATGTGGGGCTGTGTCGGGGGGACACCCACCAGCACCCAGGGGCTGGCACAGCACGGGGGGCAGCTGGGCAGGGCTAACAG